TTTTTTTTTATAAAATTTCAAATTTGGTCAGAAGGTAAGATGACAAATTTTGTGAACATTTTTGTAAAATTATTTTTAAAAATGTTTTATTTTCCTGCATGTTTCTCATAAAATTAGAGCATTTAGAAAACATTTTTAGAAATTGTTTTCTATAAAGTTTTCTGTCAAAATGTGAATGTTTCGTGTCATTTTTGTTTAAAAACTAAACAATTTTGATAAAAAAAAATTGAAAATATTTTCATAAAATAAAATAAAGACAAAACAGATTCTCCTTTAATTCACCCTAATATGATGGACAATCACATGTTCTGCCTGGTTTATATTAGTGTCTATAATGAAGACAACATCAGTTTCATGAACTCAGTTATTTTAAACACAGAGATGACGTGTTTCACAAAAATTCCTAAAAAAAAATGTTGTTACATACTCGTCAACCCAATCAGTTCTCAGCCCCTGTTTCATTTTCATGAAAAATTCAATAATTCCTCTTGTTTGTTTTTCATTTCATGGAGAAAAACCTTTAGTTTCCACCTTCTGAGGACAACCATCCCATTAAAGCACCAGCACCGGCTACAGCTGCAGAGGTGGTCGCTGAGACTCCGGCGGCACCTGTGGTCACACCAATAACCCTCTCAGTGTAAACAAAAGAACGCTGTGACACAGAACACGCAGCCCTGTGGTTGGAAGTGTCTGATTTTGTTCCTTACCGACTGACTGCAGGACGGCCACTGTACTCCCTGCTACCACGCCACCTCCGTTGGCCAACGCTGCTACCGACATCAATTTTGCACCGACAGATCCGGCTGCGACTCCAGCTGCGGTGAAACCTGCGGCTGACAGGACGACTGGTGCTGCAGCCAACGCACCCGCTGCACAAGCTGGACACGTGCAAATACTTTAGTGTCATTTGAAAAAGAAACTAAACACAACAAAAACACAAACGCACATATAAAAACATAGACTTTTTTTTATCGTACCTGCTCCGACGATTGTTCCCGTCACTGAAACACAAAGAACACATCGAATGTCAGGTGAACTGGCTTCATGTAAAAAGACAGAATTATGGATTTAAAATGGAGAGCGGCTCTCACCAGGATCCATGTTTTCCTTCTGCTCTGTCTGGTCTGTTGTCGGTGTTGGTCTCGGCTGTGGAGCTGCTTTGTGGTGCACTGAGGTTCTGCTGCTTATGAAGGCTCGGAAGTTGTTTGTCCAGGTTGTTTTTTTGTTTGTTTTGTTTTTTTGTATCAGCAGGGTTTGTTTTGTTTGTTTGTTTTTTTGTATCAGCAGGTTATGTTTGTCGAGAAATGAAACTGTCAGAGTTCCAACTCTGTTCACTGTTAAAGTGTCAGAACAGGTTTAAGGTTTTCTATTCATTCGAAACCTGAGATTGTGCTTGAACATAATTTTAAGTTAATGTGTATTAAAGTTTTGTGTTTTTTGTTTTGTTTTGTGTTTTTTGTTTTGGTTTGGTTTTTTTTTTAAATTTTTGCTGCTTTACTTGGTCATATTTAGGTTCTTTCATTTAACAAAAACAAACAAAAACAAAAACTTGACTCTCTATTATTGACCCGTTTTAAGTCGTGTCTACTTTGTCTGTGGCTGGTCCAACTCTGCCCCCTAGAGGCACTTTTGGGAAAAAATCCCAAAAGGGGTAATTTTTTAGAGGTGTTAGCTGTTTCAATGTTTTAGTAATTCTTTTTCATTCTTTTGTGTATCATCGCACCCCTAATATATATATGTGTATATACATATATATACACATATATTTGTGCCTCGTGTCTAGGTTTCTGGTTTTCAGAGTGAAGACGACGTCAGTTCATGTTCATGTTCATGATTTTTAATGCATTTATTTTAAAGTGGGAGAACACAGAGTTGATGATGTGTTTCACAAAAATATCCTGTATTTTTGTTACACACACATCCGTCCAATCAGGGCTCTCTCCAGAAGAAATGCAGTTCTTCTCTTTTGTTGTTGTTCATTTCTTCTTAGATCAGCAGGCCAAGGGCTGTGCCCACGGCTCCCCCAGCGCCCGCCACTCCTGCGGTGGCAGCTGTGCCCAGGCCGCCCATTCCTGAGAGACACAGGTCACATGATAAGAGTCTGACTGAGAAAACAGCTACAATCGCCAGAGAGAACTCCCAACTTTACCGAGTGACGTCAGCACAGACACTGCACTTCCAGAGACTATTCCGCCCCCACTGGCGATGGCAGCAGATGACATCCAGGCTGCAGCGTAGGAGCCGGCGGTGACTCCAATTGTACCGAACCCTATGGCTCCCAGAACAAATGGGGCTGCGACCACAGCGCCACCTAAATGCAGACGAGGAAAGAAATTCAGACAGACTGTCTCACCTAACGAGTGATCGTCTCCGTGTAAAGTCGACAAGTCTGGGGAGTTTAAACGTCCCGTGAGAACAGACCGTCACGGATTCAGAATACAGAGCGTCAACATCGATGGTGTCTCGTCAATTCGTTTGAAATGTATTTATATATTTACTTCAGGGATGTCCGATAATATCGGACCCGAGAAGCACAGAGTGCAGCAACGAGCCAGTATGATGAAATTGTTTGAAAATGGAAGCAGCAAAAAAAAAAAAAAAAAAAAAAAAAAAAAACAAAAAAAAACTAAAAAAAAAAATTGACTGTATTTGAAAGG